CTGTTAACATTGTTAACATTGAATTGATACAGATCCAAATCTTTTGTACTGTGATTCAGCACAGTAAGCTAACCAAATTTAAAGTCACAAAAGGACAACTTTGACTTGCATTAACTTCATTTTGTAATTTACAGTTAAATAAACATAAAAATAATTAAACTGACAATTAATCACCTTAATGAGAAAGCAATAATTATCAAAGGTGACATTGCCAAATAATTTCTGGAAGACATAATTGTATTGTTCTTGAGTCCTATGTCAGTTCAGTAACACTTGTAATTTCTTAAACCTCTGCAGATGTTTTAAATAAAAACAAAGGATATTTGATGCCAAGATATTTCCTTCTATTAACTAGTTCATAATTGCTTTTTTTACTCTGTGTGCTAGAGGGTGGGATTGTTTTGAAGCTCACAGGAGCTCTTGAGTCGTGTCAAGTGGATACTGTAGGCATTCAGAAATGCCTAACACATGCCTTCAGACTAATTTGTTTCAGAACTTTGTCATATTTTGGGGGGGAACTTATCATTTAGCAACAAGAAGACCTTGCCATACTGAAGACACTTACCTCCATTTACAAAAGATTAAGAAAACACAATATTGCTTTGTGTATATTTTAATGTGATCAAAGTAGCAATGAATTTAAATTTAAAGAGTTGCTAGGGATTAACTTTACAGAGATCATAGTCCATTCTATCTGTGACACAGAGATGGCATATCAATCAATCTATTCTGCATGTCTTTGGGAAGTACTGTATGAAAAATGCACCTGGCCAAAACCCTACTGAATACATGAAGAGGGTATTTGTCCTCCACACAGAAGATGCCCAGAACAAAATATAACCTATCCTAACCTAGAACTGTGATCCTAACCTAGAACACCAGCATTAACTGCCACAAGACTCTTGTCACGGTAACTCACGGCTAATCATGTACTCATCATAAGAAAAAAGAAAAACTATTCACAATTCCATGAAGACATTTTACATTAAAATAATTTAATAATAATAATTAATAATTGCTTGCACTTATATAGCGCTTTTCTAGACACTCCACTAAAAGCGCTTTACAGGTAATGGGGACTCCCCTCCACCAATGTGCAGCATCCAGTGTGCCAGAACGCTCACCAGACATAGATGGGGATTATTAGAAGGACAGAGCCTATGGGGATTTGGCCAGGGTCTTTTTTAAATTTTTAATGAGAGTCAGGACCTTGGTTTTACATCTCATCTGATGGACAGCACCTGTTTACAGTAAAGTATCCCCATCACTATAATGGAACCTTAGTTTTTCCCCAGGAGGTCTCCCATCCAGGTACTGAGCAGGCTCACACCTGCTTAGCTTCAGTGGGTTGCTAGTTCTGAGTTGCAGAGTGATATGGCTGCTGGTTATTTGTTTGGAATTTACTTCCAGCTTTACATTACATTATCAAAGTTTCCTATTGATAATTTGTAGAAGATTAGCATATAAAGAGTTTCATTCACATGAACAATTTTTGATTGAGAAAAACAATCCAGCATTTTGAACAGGAAATTATAATCAATCTTCATTCCCATAATGCATATCAGCCATACAGTATGCTCTTAAAACATACCATAAACTGGAAAGGTTCTTTGTAATGTTCAAATACTTCTGTCTCATTGGTTAAAATTCTCTATCTCATGCTAATGAACCCTAAAAATGTATGTGGCTGTGAACTTTGTATATGCTCAGATGGCCCCCCAATTCAGAGCTGCAAATTGGCCAGAGGTAATTAATTTTTATAAACCTGTTCTGCAATTTCCCTCAAGGGATTAATGAAGTATCTATCTAAACCTAGGCATCTCTGCTTGAGTTGTATGCTACTATGATCTAAATCTTACTTTATACACAAAAACATGAGAAAATATCTCTATACTATATATTTCTCCTCTCTCTTGATACAATTGAGGATCTCAGACATCCAGGGTCAGGGTAGTTATTTTCTATTCTTCAGCTAGGCAAAAACCATTGGAATGAATTCATACCAGAGTTCACAGCACCACAAATGTTAAATAAACAAGGTCTCACTCTCAAGAGATAGTAAAATTTGGCCAGGATTTTGCTGAGCTGGGCCTTCTTCTGATAAAGAACAGAGGACTTGGTGTGGGAAAGCAGTCTAGCCTCCCTTTCCAAAACAATAGAACCATTGCAAAATGGTTTCATCTGTGTGAAAGCCAAGCAGTAATTATAGACCAAGAAAGAAAACTGACTCTATACAGTACAATGCATCTTGATGTTGTGGAGAAACAGATTCCAAGATTTGATTTCCTTTTCAACTATAATTGTCTCTGCAATGCAAAACCTTTTTTTTTTTGCTTTAAACAAAAAAAAAGGTTTAAAAAGGTTACTGACTAGCAAACGTTTGGAAAAATATCTTAGTTTGGGCCATCTGAAGTGGAGGAGTGGTGGAGAGGGGAGGAAGATTCGTTCGGCTTTCCGTCTCTTCAACCCACAATTATCTGATTGCATAGATGGAATGTGACCGAATCATCAGAGCTTTCTGCTTACTGATGGAGTTTCATGGAAATGAGAGCCATACATTTTTGATGTACAAGTTTTTTTTTAAAGTAATATACATTGAAGTAACTTGGGAGTTAATCCTGTCCTTTATCAAAAGCAGATTTTGAAATGTACACAGGGCCACAATTTCAATTTTTATTTGTCAGCCCCTTTGTCTGCAGAGCCATGTAAAGTAAGTTATATTTGGCTTGGGGTCAAGGCAGAAAATTCATAGCTTTCTTTAAATATCCAATTGCACTACTGATAGAACAGACTTTGTTAATATTTTAGTAAATGTACTGTATGTTTCCAAAAGAATGCCTAATCAATAGAAACATTAATTCCTCCCTTACTCCACTATTATTAGGCTTATACTATAATACCCTCTACATTTCTGTGTAGAATGTTCTATGAGAATGTGTTATGGGAACAGCTTTATACATAGATTCTGCATGAGAAATACTATATTCCTGATTTGCAGAGCTGGTATAATTTCCTTAAATTAACCCCACATTAATGCCAAAACACTGGTTCACTGTGTTACCTCAAAGACATTATAATGCTAAACTTTTGTCTAAAAGTTTCTGCTGTAAAATTACCCTATGATTTACTTGAGCCTTTCATTTCTTGGAGAAATTGATGTGTTTCAGGTTTTTTCTGGGCAGATAGCAACAAATGCAGTTTTTCAGTGTTCATAACTTTTTTTCCATCTGCTAGAATTTTAGAATTTGTTCAAAATAAAATTTAAATAAGGCCAAGCTCATTTATATTACCAACATAAGCATGATAAGTGGATAATTAAAGTTCACATACTGTACTTATGTGTCGCTTAAATTTTAATTTCAATTCATCCATTAATTATCAAAAATGAAAAAAACTGTTCTTAAAGCCTGCAATGCATAGATACTGGGATTGAAATTTTTAAATGGCACTCATAGAAGGGACAATAAACATTTAACTGATTGATCAACTCATCTTATAACAGATAATACTCAAGGGAGAAGCCGAAAGTAAATATCGCATTGTTTTTTTGTTATCAATCAAGAAAGCCAGGTTTCTAAGACCCTTAATATGCGTTAGAGAGTCTCACCTTCTTATTTTTTAATGTCTTAAAACGTTTTTTTCCATATAATTAAACAGAAAATCTTTAAAACAGCACTTACAGGAAATAACTATGAGAAATGCATTGAAAAAGTTACTCTGTGCTGTTTATGTTTCATCGTCAACACTGCTTGCAAAGATAGTGCTAGAATCTATATACCAGTAATGAACTCTATCAATTTGCTGGTGTGTTTTGCAGATCACAAGGTCAAAAGTATATTTTGTGTTTGCATGCAAAGGTGAGCACACACTTTTTCATTTGTACATTTTCAAAAGGATTTTAATGGGAAAGTCATCAGTCCATCAGCATTAATGGAGACCAACTAAATTTAGATTTCTCTGCTAATCTCTAAATCTAGTCTCACTTCTCTAACCTCTCACATAACTCACAGATACAGAAGTGAGTACAGTGTCATATTTGCATATTTTTACTGTGATATTAAACCATTACAAGATTTCTTAGTTCTTTTTCTAGTGTTGTATAATAGCTTTCATAATCATTTTGAAATACTTTAGTAATTTGTTAGCTTTCTGTTTGTTTATTTTTTTATTGGTCATTCTGTTACTACACCAGTGACTGTCCTGACTGTGGTTGGCCTGTTCTAGGTGGTGTGTTGATCTGAAACTCCTCCCGCTTGTTCTCATGAGCTGAGGTAATGTCTCACTGGCAGCTAACTGCAATGTTGAGCAACCCCTGTTTATTCTTTTTCATTATCATTTTTGAGACTCCACTGCAAAAGCACAACAAAGGTTATGATATTTTTGCCTCTCCTTTCCTTTTAAAGTACCCCCCTGGCTTCATTAAAACATACTTATCCTTAAACCTTAAATCATAATGAATAACTTAAATTGACAAAAACATGTGTTACGACACAATTCAATTCATCCTGGAAGTTCTCTAAAACACCTTCAGTATCTTTGGAAAATCAATGTAAATTCCACATTCAGAATATTATTACATCTTCACAGACCAAATGAAAACCATGTTTGCAATAAAATTCCATTTTCCTGTATGAACTGGAACACAGCCTGGTTTCTTTATTCAAGGAATGATGGCCAACTGTGAAACACATTCTCAGTTTGTAATGCATAGTATTGGTCCTTAAAATCATATTGCCTGGCAAACATATACAATTACATCTTACTCAGTTTAGATGTCTCATCTAAAATTATCAAATCATCTTTAATACTTGACACGGGATATATAAGCTTTTTTTTTCTTTGACTACAGTATGGTAAATTCACACAAATAATCCTTTAGATATTGTGCAACTTAATGTTTTAGAAACGTTTATTATTTTCCTGTGTTTCTGTGTAGATCCTACAGTGGATATGGCAGAATCTACTGCAGATTCAATGTCTTTTGTCTGTGTTCACTGTAGGAATGAAAATTCTTCAGAAGATGCACTTCCCCCTGTTGATGCTGTTGTACCTGTTAGGGGCTGCAAAATCTCAGGTTAATCCAGGTAAGAGAAATCCCTTTGACTAAAAAATGCAACACCTTAATATGTTTTTTTTCTTTACAGTTCTTGTTAGCAAAAACCTGTTTCTATTTCACTACAACACCTTGTAATCTGAAACTTAGCTAATGTACAATGTTTAATTACAACAAAAACAGAAATAGCTTAAGGAACAAACTGTGCATGATTAAAAAAAATCTTTATATTTAGATTTGATTTAACAATGTTTAAAGTCACTACTTTAAAGTCATATTTCACCAACTTTCATATACTTTGGTATAAGACCTGGACTTGCCATTTTGGCCAATAATATTATTAGTAAATAAAAAAAGGGTTGTTGTATTCTAATAAAATTGCTGTGTTTAAAAGTCACAGAAATCACCTCTGCTATGACAATGGGAAATCTAAATTATTAATATACTGTAGATTAACAGAGCAGTAGCACTAAAATTACTTTTCACTACATGTCCATACTGTATGTTAAGTTGGATTGTTATAGCTCTCAAATTGGGAACGGATCTTTTATTAGGGACCCTATCAAAACATTTCCCATAAAAGTTTCACTCTTAGATTGCAAGCAGCAGGCATTCAAGATAATACATGCATTTGGACTGAGCACTGGAAAATGAATAGAAAACAGAAACTAAAGACGAAGGGTGTATTAGCAGATTGGGGTGATGTAATTAGTAGAGACCATGTGGATCTGACTTGGGATCACTGTTCTTACTAATTAACAGTATTTCAACAAACTATATTCTGGTATACAAAGTAGTGAAGTCAAGATGTTGCAGTGTAAAAAATGTAAAAAAATAATAATATGGTTGTAATTCATTCACTGTGGAGGCCACTGATTCTGAAACCTTCTACACATTAGATATTCTGAATTGACATTTGCCATTTTTCTTCTCATAAAATACTGTATTTCTGGGATGCAGAGATTTGTTATTCTTTGCACTATATGAAATCCATAATATACTGTATTTAATTAGTAATTATGATAGGTCATGAAACAGTTTTTATCTTCTGGGTGCTTTTGTATGCTAATTATTTTTTAAATGCATTTACTGTGATAGTCATTTCTTATTCCTACTTTTAATATCATTCAAATTTGTATTCGTGTACACCTACTGTTTTACAAATTAGAGGATCAACCAAATAAATGGATCTATGAAAAACCTTGTTACTGAATTAATGTACGATAAAATGTAGACAACGAATAACAAATATTTCATCAACAATGTTCAGTTTCCATTAAATCTTAAATAGTTTTTATTTGATTCACGTAAACATCAAAATATGAAAAAATATCACTATAAAGCTTTCATTAGGTTTAACACTATAATTGAAGTAAAAAAGCTTCAGACTTAGTATGCCAGGCAATAAACATAGGAACGCTAGTATTTTTAAAGAGTCATTTTACAGCTGTGGCGTGGCATTTTATAGAATTTGAAATGAGGATAATTGTACAGTATTGGATCCAGATTAACATTCCGTTTTAATTACAGACTTTTTCTGACAGACTACAAAGTAACCCAAACAATTCTCTTCAGTTTGTCTGGTGCACTTCAGAGTAAACAAAAGATATGTAAACGTTTCATAAACCTTCCTATTTTGGAGTCGACCATCAGAATCCAATTCTTTGATCTTTGTTCTCACATATCAATTTGAAGAAGAAGGTTTTTTTTTGCTATTTAGAATTACAAACTGTATAACCATTACTGTTTACAGTAAGAGTTATGACACAAATCATTGGCAAAAAAAATTCTCTTTAAACAAGCTTAAGAAGCTTGTATTGAACAATTTATTTTTTGTAGATGCTTTTAGAGTAACTTAAATTGTATAAATGCGATCTGCATTGTACTGATGCAGTCATCTTTTAAAAATCCCTTACATGTAAAATTGACATTGTATCTCTTACAGCTGATACTCTGGTAATACAGGAGTGTCAGAAATAATTCTTTACCTTCTAGAGTTAGCAATTTTAGAGAATCTTTACATTTTATTCATTATTTCTGCAATTAACAAAAATGTTTTCAGGATATTTAAAGTTTCATTCATGAAAAGTGAAGACATTTAGACCAGCATGTAGCAGTACTCATATAAGATATGCTGGAAAAGCATTTTCTTATTTTTCTGAGCAGTGGAAAAAGAGAACTACTGGATTTTACTGTATACGCATTGTCTGCACAACACACGTACCTGCTAGGTTCAGGGTATGTAAAACATGTACCTGTTTTACTAAACACCCACTAAGAACTCATTCAGATTTTCCACTGTTTCTTGAATACTGCTTTTAGTTGTCACTAATTTTGATTAGGGGGTTCCACAAGGTTTCAAATTGCTTTCCCCTGTTTTTCTCATATACCAAATGCACTTGACAGCTGGGTTTCCCAATACCACACTGTCCATCACACTATGTCTGTTGATTAGAGTTAGCAATTTACATCAGTGTTCTGTTGATTGATGGAATAATTTTGTACGAGTGGACATATGTAGAATTCGTTATCATTAAAAGAACACACAGATGTAATCATTAACGTTATTTATTCCTGAAGATCATGCGCGGTTCTGACCTTTGCAGAAGTTTATTATTATATGTAGTATGAAAGGGAGGGAAATGTTTACAATGGATCCAGCAATCCAACTGGAGTCTGTGGCTAATGCATACCAGACATTTTCACAGCAGGAAAGTACATTGAAATTAACTGTGTTTTTCACCATTTTATGTATTTCCGGACAGTTTTTAACCACCCATAAGTCACATACAGTAGCTGATATTTTGTTAATTTATTGCTATCAACGTTCATACACATAGACACAGTGGCATGTTCTAAAGTTAAAAATATGGTCCCTGGAATGAAAGACCATTTCTGAGCATTTGCAATAAGATAACATTTTACAGAAACGTTAGCTGTAGTGAAGTAGTGAAGTAAGATTTCCAATACCATTTAAAAAACTGTACACTTTTTTACCGCCAATCTAGGAGTAGAGTGTCACAAAAACCTATGGTAAAGGGTACATGACATCTTTAAATGCTTAAGCTATTCCCCATTCTGTTTTTGTGGTTATGAGTTTTTATAAGCTTCTTCTTCAAAAGCCTTATAAACACTAGAGATGTTACAAATGAGACTGGGCCAGTCCCCTCCTCCAGCTCATTTGGTCATTTGTAGCTAATTCATCAGGTCGTCTTTTCGAGTTTTCTTGAAAGAAGCTTCAGCAACAAGGCTGAGTAGCTTATTACAGACTGCAGATTTTATTTTCAGTTTTGTGTGGGACAAATCTCATAGCAATGTAAGTTTAACCAAAGGAAAATTAGTTGACACTGGGTCTGAATACCCAGAAGGGCAGCTAAGCAATTGTTTAACATAAGGCAAACACAACACAGATCAGTTAACAAAAGGGAAAGTGGCAAACTGAAAGACGGAGTGCACAGTGCATGTGAGTAGACCCTGCTGATGATATGGTGTGTTTGTTATGTGTGGGGGTTGGAGCCAGTGGTTAGACAGCAAACACCAAGGAACAAGCAGGCCATTCAGAGGCCAGAGTATGGAAAAATCAGAAAGTGAAAAAAGACTCTGGAGTTCTGCGCAGTTGCTAAGGTTTCATGTGTCTGCCAGAACCAGCAGGCCAAAGAGATGGGTATCATTCAGAAACGGCAAAAGTTAGACTGTTTTTTTTCTTTAGATCCTTAAGGAAATGAGATATTTGATACATGTACATATTACTTTGTCCTACTTTCATCCACGGAAGTATATTCACTTCAGATGCTGGGAAAAAAAGATTTGAAGATAAACCAGGACAGTATAAGAGAGTATCATTTTAACTGCACAAAATGTAAAAGAGGTATACACCTGAAGAAGAAATCTCTACTTCTTCCTTTACAGCCTGCAACTGAACCTTCACAAAAACGGGTCACACTCAGTGGCTAAAACTACAAAATCATGTAACTTTAACCTATAAACTGGCAATCCACATTGCACAACATGACATAAATGTACTGTGATGAATCTTAATTAACAGATTTGAATGGGTGTGGCTGTATAGAAGTTTCAGTATCATACAAAACTGTTTTGTTTATGGAAACAAATATGATATGCAGTATTTTTTTAACTTAAGGTTTGAGTTTGGGTTCCTTTAAGATAATGACAAAATGGATAAAATAATACTGTACACAACAACTAAAATGGCATTTTGGTCCTTTTGGTTTTGCAATCAGTGCAGTCTAAAATAATATCAAGAATTCGCAACAGAAATCAGAACTTGAGTGACACTACACTGTGAACACAGTTTAACACTATACTGACCTGACAGACTTATTGACCTGTTTCTTTATTCTACTATACAGTACCCATGTATGTTGCACTTTCTAAGGACTTATCTGTCTCACATAGATACTCTGTGTTCACCCTATCCCTTTTCATGTGTTCGGACTTTTAAAACAACTCCCATACAGTAAAAGTTAAATGCAGTTCATGTTGCACAACTCCCTGCTGATACAGGAGAGTCACATTTTGCCCATACTATCATTTTCTTAATTTAAAACTAACTATTTACTTTAAAGTCTAAAACATTTGTAAAACTAAATTTTAAAAGCAAAAGAATCTTGTAGACAGAAGTATTCTCCAACATTTAATTGTTCTCCTTATTAATATGATCTTATGTCATGGGCGTCTTCCAGCATTTTTCAGACATGCCCACATAAGTTCAAGAACTGTAATGGTGGTCTTTTGGAGTTTCTTCATAAAAATAACTAAGGTTCTGTATGTAAGGGTGGGAGAGAAGAGTCTGTGTGCCATTTGGAAAAGATTTTTTGGTATTAACTTCCTTTTGGACAATATCAAGTTGTAGCTGCCAAATTGAACCGTCTGAGGTTTCCCCAGCCTGACGATTAAGCAAACATTCAACAAAAAAAAGTCCTTCACCAGTATTCCTGCTTCTGCTGGCACCTTCATAAAAGTCTTTTTGTTGTCAACTATGACCTGGTGGACTGGGAGTCCCTGTGCTCTCAGTATTGAATCCCTTGTGTGCCTAACAGTACTGACTCCTCCCAAATGTTCAACTTTAACCACTGCCTCAGAACTAATATTAAAAGATTTTCAGGAATTCTGCTTCCTGGAGATACACATAACTAAAGGCTTATAACAACTGAGGTTAATCGTTCTCTTACCTTGTACATATGTATGACATTGGGGAGTACATGTTGTACAAACTTCTTAGACATTTTATGTTGTTCTCTTCTCTTTTTACATCTTTCTTTCAATGTTTTTCAGATCATTTTTCATAGTTAATCCTGTTAGATCTGGTAGATCAGATTTTATAGTACAAAACATAGCATTGGTAATATAGATGACAGAGGGACAAGTATTGTAGGTAACTAGTAAGGGATACCACTGTGAAAACAACAGTGATTTGGAAAAATCTGCCAAGTTCTACTGTATGTCTAAAATTGGACACACTATTCATACAGTATATTGACAATATCCTAATCCCTACACAAACCTGGCCTGAATGGAAAAAAGTGTCAGGAAAAAAGCCAGTACTAAAAAAGATTCATTTTAATTTTGTCTGAGAAATACTACAGACACGTGGAAGAAAATGTTATATATTCAAATGAAAAAAACATGATATGCTTGGTGCAAGCGTAACTCAGCACATCACCCAGTCAGCACTATTTCAACTGTAAAGTACTCTGTCTCATAGGGATGTTTCCCAGAGACAGCTTAGTGATAAGAACTATCGGGAACTGAATGATGACCTACCAAATCCTAGAAGAAAACCTACTTTAGGAATCTAAAATTGTGTTTAGCAAGACAATTTTCCAAAACACAAGCCCATTTGAGTTGTTTTTTTTAAGAAGAGTGTTAATGTGCTTGGGTGGCCCAGTAAAAGTTCTGAGAGTCATAGTCCATTAATGATCCCCAAAAAACTTGTCAGAACGGAAGGAATTTTGTCAGGAACAATGGTCTTAAACTACCTCATCTTACTACAACCACACTCATTAAATATAGCTGGTAATGACCTATGCAAATGATTGTGTGCAACAATTGCTGCCACATGTACTTCCACAAAATACCGACTTACAGGGTAGAATACTTAGGTAATCGGTCAACTTCAGTTTTGTTCTTTGAAGGTTTTTCTTACATTTGACCTCATTCTTATATAACATCAAATGGATCATTACAGTTTTTGATCAAATCAGTTCATTTGTCAAACCTATTGTATACATTACTTGTGATTAAACAAATTGTGATATTATTATTAGGAGTGAATAGGTCATGTTTTGCAAAATATTGAATGCAGTAGCCCTGAATTTTAGGTGAGTGTAGAAAATAAAACAGCTTCAAACCCCGATGTTGAGATGTTTAGTTTTAAAGTGCTGAAACCATGTATTGCAATTAATAAGAACAGCAACAAAAATGAAGGCATATACAGTACAATGACAAAATAATAATAAACTTTATTTTATATGGTGTCTTTAAAAGCGGCTTTTCAAAACACTTTACAGTAAGAAAAAAAAGCACACAAGGAGAGTAGATAGCAGGATTAATACAATTCCAACAAGGGTTTGAATGCAGTTGGAATGTAAAGTGTCGGACACAGAACCAATTAAATAAAAGCCCTACTAAAGAAGGTTTTAAGTCTTGATTTGAAAGTGCTCAGGAAAGTTGACTCTCTGATCTCCTTAGGGATAGAATTCCAGCAGGAGATAGCCCTGTCATCCATGCAGAAGGGTTTGGGGGACAGAAGACCAGAATTAGATGACAGAAGGTTGTGAGGTGGGGAGTAGGAAGGTAGTAAGTCAAACAGGTACTGAAGTGCCAAGCCTTACAGGTGAGCATGAGGATTTTGAAGTCAACATGAAACCTAATAGGAAGCCAGTGCAAGGACTCCAGGATAGGAGTAATGTGATCACTTGTATATGACCTGGTCAGGATTCTGGACATACTGAAGCTTGTTTGGTTTGGATTTAGATATACCAGCAAGTAGGGCATTACAGTAATCAACTCTACAAAAGTGTTGACCAGCTTTTCAGCTACAGTCAGAGACAACATAAGATGAAGTCTGGCGATATTTCTGAGGTGAAAGAGCAACGTTTTTACAAGATTTTGCACGTGTGGGTCAAACATCAAGCCTGGATCAAATATCACTGACAAATATGTGTTACTGCATTGGCTTTACATAGTTGTTGGGAGATAGTTGTTGTGCCAAGAAGCATGACTTCAATATGTACTTTAAATAGAAAGTGAATTAGAAATAGTGCATTATTTAAAATGTATATTATTGTTTCCTTCTCAAATATAGCTACATAATAATTATGGGTGGCTAAGTTATTATTCTGATCTATGGTCTGTTGATGTCAAAATGCAAGAAATAAAATGTAAAAGTTATGCATGTATTTTATTATATGATTTGAGCTATCTCATGAGTAGAAGTTTAATAAATCAAGCTTCTTAAGAATGAAAAGAAATAAAACAAAAATAGAAAAAAATAGAAAAGGGAATTTCACGGTGCTTTTCTAACAACTTGTTCCACTATATTTACTATCATTGAAATTCAGAGGACTATCAAAGAGCCCTGCTGTTCCAATCCTAATATCATATTATGGTCATCTTTGTGTTTTTTTAGCTGCAGTATTACATTGAGTCTATGTCTAAAAAAAACTCTTTATTTTATTAAGACATGAAATACATTGAAGGCTCAGAGACCACACATGAAACTGTATTTTTTAACCAATATTTAATAGCCAACAACTATGTCTTATACCTCAAGTGTTGTTTTCACTGGCAGTACAACTGAAATAATCCATTGGTTTAATTTCATTGAAATAACCACATTTCTAAGAGAGAGCAGATCATCTTAGATTTCCTCCAGAAGCCGCGCATTTAAAAGTGTGGTATACACTTCTTGCAAAAGAATAGAAGCATAATAAAATCACTTTTGTTTTAAAGAACATATGCTGCTTACAAATAGACCCCTCAAGTGTGTAGTGGTGCCTTGGGTATCCTAAACTTAGTTGGTTTAAACAAATATATCACAAAATCCTGTAACAGTTTAAATAAACATCCACCCCATTTTTGTTAAGTAAATGCAACAGAAGTCAAGAAAATTGGTTATGGATTACAAAGAGAAACTGTTTCCAAATGATATTTTCTGGCCAGAAGAGCATTTATTTTTAAAGTGAACATTCTGTTGCCAGAGCTGTTAGTTTTGCTTTAATGAAACATTGATATTTTAGGTGTGTGTCGTTACCCTCTTGGAATGTCTGGTGGACAGATTCAAGATGAAGACATCTCAGCATCTAGTCAGTGGTCAGAATCTACAGCAGCTAGATATGGCAGGTATGTGTTAATTGCCTGTGGTGAAGAACCATCTTACCAACATATGTTATATGACTAGCACATCTTTCTTTCTCGAGAATAACATATAAGTCATTCTAAATGTAAATCTCTACGTGTGAGGTTTGTGTGTGTCTTATATTTAGAAATCATTACAGTAAAACCACAACAGTAAGCAAGTTAATTTAATTTCCCAGGTGCCTTTATTCAATTTCTGATTTGTATTTTTTTTTTTATGTTTTCTTTAGAAATTAATCAATGTGAAATTTCGGCGTGTCTTATTAACCAAAAGGTCACATTGATTAATTCAAGTAAATAAACATTTGTAATGCACAATAGTGGCAACTCATACATTGACCTATTCAAGCCAGGAGACATTTAGTTTTATACGGACCCGTTAAGGTCAGAAAATCTGTACTCCTGCTTTTCCCATCAGACTTGATTTTGAAGAGGGAGATGGAGCCTGGTGTCCTGAGATCCCAGTGGAGCCAGAAAACTTAAATGAGTTCCTCCAGATCGACCTGCGGTCTCTGCATTTTATAACCTTGGTGGGAACACAGGGGCGGCACGCTGGTGGCATGGGTAACGAATTTGCCCAGATGTACAAGATCAAGTACAGTCGGGATGGGAGCCGTTGGATCTCCTGGAGGAATCGGCATGGAAAACAGGCGAGTGTGTGAATGCACGGCAACCGTAACGTCAAGGGTTCGATCCTCAATATGACCTTCCACTGTCTTACCTCTCTACCTACTCAAAACCTTCTTTTCTAGAAAGGCTCTTATTTAACAGGTTCTGTGTGCCCCTTTGCTCTTACTGTGTTCTGTCCCGACTTCTACTATCTACTCTTAATGTGTAAATTCAATGCATATATTTTGTGTATATTTTTGTTTTGTTGTTGTCCTGTAAAGCGCTTTGAGAAGCCACTATTAAATACCTTATTATTATTATTATTATTATTATTACATGGCCATCATGGACTATTGAATCACAGAGGCAGCAATATGCCTCCATATGCTCTATGTCAATAAATTGAAAAGATACAGTTTGCAACAGAATGTGAGATTGCTGCTTCCTTTCCCAAAGATGCATTGCACCCAGTTTTATATTCTTTAAAGTACAGAATACATTATTTTTTAAAGTTAAATATTTCATTTATAGCAGGACAAGAAGGAAGCTCTACTCTTTTCATATCTGGAAGTCTTGACATTCAACAGGTAACAGAAACACTTACTAGTAATCTCATTATTTTGTTTCATTTCATTACTTTTCCAGATAATTGAAGGAAATAAAAATGCCTATGATATTGTGCTGAAGGACCTGGAGCCTCCCATCATTGCAAGATTTGTGCGATTCATGCCCGTGATGGATCACTCAATGAATGTGTGTATGAGGGTGGAACTCTACGGATGTGAATGGTTAGGTGAGATAAGACTTCTCTTTTATCAGAAAGTTTTGGGTTAAACTGTCTCCCAAGAAAGGGAAATTTCCCATGTTTGTGCCCTTTGCTCCTAACTCCGTAATGTCTGTAATTTGCATTTGTTTCTGGAAAAGTAAAGATTATGTAAGCAGTATTTTTATTTTTAGGCAGAAGGATGCACAGTTTTTTTCTAAATTGATGTGAAGAGAATTTCCTTATGGAAATACTCCCAAAGCAAAGTTGACGAATTGCAAGCAGACTGTGTGCATCATAGTTGCAGAAGACAGGATTAAGCAAATGAAAGATATAAAAAAATACTAAACCTTTAACAGGGAATTAGAGTAAAAGAGAAATCAGTTTCCTTTATGTTGTACTGTGTTATTGTAACTGGGGTATAAATCACTCCAGTTCTGGCACTGCTGCTCTTTGCACAAGATAAATGATGACTTAAGACCATCCTGCTCTGCAGACAAAAATGGCATAAATTCCTCTGTCATTCAGTTATTGAAACTAAATATTTTTTAAATAGTACGTTTCTTTTTTTCTGCTTTTTAGTAGCTGCTTAGTACTTGGGCTGTCCCCATTCGGGAATTTCATTCACAATATCTTGGCACTCACACATTTGTCTTACTTTTACCTGAAGTTCGATTTTTCTTTCAATACTGTCATGATTTATACTTCTGCACAGATGGCCTGGTGTCTTACAATGTGCCAGCAGGACAACAGATGATCTCACAAGGAAATCAACTCACCTACCTAAATGACTCAGTTTACGATGGGGCAGTGGGATACAGGTGTGTCACCATTTTATTAACGTTTCATCCAATTTTCTTTGGTATGATGAAAAATGTTAATTGTTGGGTTGTTATTACTGGCTTATAAAAACATTTAAATTGGAGGTATAGAACTAAATAATTAACAAGATAGTTTATGTGCATAAAGCAGAAGAAACCTTTGAATTTAAAGGAATGAGTGGATTGGCAAGCTAAATGTCTTTAGAAACTTTAATGCTTTCCAATAATTATTCACTATGTGAGAAAAGCTGTTGTAATCTCTCATGAGCTGACTTGGAAAATATATTCCAAAATATAATATATAAAAATTGGTTTGTATTACAGCCTGTGCTTGTAAGGAGCTCACAGGAAAAAAGGATCACATTCAAATAGAACTGTAAAGTGAGTTACTGTAAGCACAGTGGTAATAAAGCATTCCTTCAGTTAATAATTCAAATGTTTGAAATTTAACTTTTATCTGCATGTTCTTATATATTATGATACTTTCATGTGTGCATTTCAGTGTGTTTATATCTGTTCTTTTTGCAAACGAATGAGATTTTACTCATATATAGGAATGTTTGGGTTTTTTTTTTCATTTTTGAATGCCTTTGTAAATGAGTACCTTCATCTCAATAGGTCACCTAGTAAATCAGTTTTGTCTTTCTCTCAGTATGACAGAAGGCCTTGGCCAACTGACTGATGGCATGTGTGGCCTGGATGACTTCACTCAGAGCCACATCTACAACGTCTGGCCTGGCTATGACTATGTGGGCTGGACAAACGAGAGCTTCCCCAGTAATTACGTGGAAATAATGTTCGAGTTTGATCGAATACGCAATTTCACAACCATGAAGGTGCTAAATTGCCTCGAATTTACTGCCACATTCTTTTTATTGGCGGGGAATAGGGCTCTGGCTTGCAAAAAAAGTTTTTTAGTCTGCTTCTTTTTTAATATGTTACAATATACAGTATAGAACAAGAACAGTACATGTTTACAAAGAACTGTTTCTCTGTTGTATTGTTGTAGGTTCACTGTAACAACATGTTTGTGAAAAGGGTGAAGACGTTCAAGCGAGTGGACTGTTACTTTCGCTCAGACACCAATGACTGGGAGCCCAATCCCCTTTCCTTCAACCCTGTGGTGGACGACGTCAACCCTAGTGCCCGCTTTGTCACCGTGTCTCTTCAGAATCACATGGCCAGTGCCATCAAGTGCCAGTACTACTTTGCTGATGTCTGGATGATGTTCAGTGAAATTACATTCCAGTCAGGTAAGGCATCTGGAACCTTAAATCACAAATCAAAGAATCATCTGCTAATTTTAAAAAAAGAACAGCCTGCCAGTCATTTACAATTATCATATAAGTATCATTTTCTACAGTATATTTAACTGTTTTCAATTAGGGTGGTTAGCATAGCTGTCTCACTGCAGTGCTGGGGCCCTAGGTTCAATTCTGGACCTGAGTAGCTAGCTGTGTGGACTCTGTATGTTCTCCATGTGTTTGTGTGGGTTTTCTCTGAGTACTCCGGTTTCCTCCCACAGTCCAAAAACATACTGGTAGGTTAATTGGCTTCTGGGAAAATTGGCCCAGTTGTGAGTGTGTGCATTTGTGTCTGTCTGCCCAATGACAGACTGGGCATCCTGCCCAGGGTGTACCCTGCCCAGGGTGCACCCATTGCTTGCCGGATTAGACTCCAGCTCCCATGAGTGACTTTGAATTGGACGAAGCGGTTAGAAAATGGATGGATGTTTCCAGTTATATCTCTAAATATGTAAAATGATTGTTGAAGTATTTAAACCCAGAATTGACAGCTGATCATTAATAAACTAACACTCTCTTTGTTTTATCAGACACTGCAGTTTATAACACAACATTAGCACCACCAAACACTCTCCCAGGGACACCAACCAGCACTCAGCCAGGTAAAGAGCATTTAGTATTGAAGTCTTTGGATCTTGATAATAGTTTCCTCACTTTTCAAAGAGGGTATGTATTCCTCCTTACTTTGTACAACAATACATAGCTTCATTCGGGTTGAAGTTCCATGTTGTTGTTTTTTTTTCCTAAGGGGATGACCCAACTCACAAAGTCGATGACAGTAACACGCGTATTCTGATCGGCTGTTTGGTGGCTATCATCTTTATCCTGGTAGCCATTATTGTCATCATCTTGTGGCGACAGGTCTGGCAGAAGATGCTGGAGAAGGTAGGGAAATATCAGTGTGTGGGAAGCAAAGTATTATGGCAGGCATTGAAGTCAGTGCAATAGGAGGAGGAGGGAAACAACAGCTAGCATTTAGATTTAATCTACAGCGTGCCATATTTATAAAGATGACACCTGTGGAAATGTTTGCTTAGAGTGTGCATTTGGTCCCTTTGTCCCTAGAAGCTGACCCTACTACACCTCTAGAGAAGTAGGAAGTTGTTATTCAGAGTGCTCGTAAGTTTGTCTTCTTCACTCAGCGTCCTTTTTCTAGGCTTCTCGCCGGATGCTGGATGATGAACTAACTGCTAGTCTGTCAATACAGAGTGAAACCTTCACCTATAACAACAACAACCACTCCTCACCGCCCAGTGAACAGGAATCCAACTCCACATATGAGAGAATATTCCCTCTGGGGCCTGACTACCAGGAGCCCTCCCGTCTCATCAGAAAGCTTCCCGAGTTCTCTCAGTCAATGGAGGAAGCTGGTAAGTCCATCGCAGAGCAGACAAAATACTCATAAAACTGCATAAAGAAGCAAATGAAAGAAACAACCAGATGAAGTAGCATCTTGTTTCAAAATCTGAGGCAGCCAGTGCACCAAACAATACACAATAAAGATACTGTTTTCCTAAAGCCTTTGCATGAGTTAGAATAATAACTCGGTATTTCAAATTCTGTGAGAACAGTTCCTGGACTCCTTTTATTTGAATGCTGAAAGCCCTACTGAGGCAATAGACACCTTGAAGCTGAGATGCCCTTGACTTGCCTTGGCAGCTGAGGTAATCTCATTTAGGCAGGAAGAAAATGTGCGAGTTGGCACATTTCTAAGCGGGGCAAAGACATAGAAAAATAAACATGTTAAAACTACTGAAATTAAATTCATCAGAGCCTTATGGGAGACTCAAGGTTATGGCATGGCCTTATAATCTGTGAATAAGGGTGTGGCTCCGTGTTCGCATGTCCCAGCAGGCACCAGTGGGGCAGCGAAGTCCTCTCAGGCCTGTGCTCAGGAAGGAGTCCCTCATTATGCGGAGGCCGACATTGTAAACCTGCAGGGAGTCACTGGGAGCAACACCTACGCTGTTCCAGCAGTCACCATGGACCTGCTGTCCGGCAAAGATGTGGCTGTGGAGGAGTTTCCCCGCAAACGGCTCACTTTCAAAGAGAAACTCGGAGAAGGGCAGTTCGGAGAGGTCAGCGTCATATTAAACACCAGTGCAATGTGGGTTTGGAAACAGAAGCCAGGGCTCATTAACATGAACAGAATACCCACTTCACTAGTGTCAGAGGCAATATGTCTCATTTAATTCATTTAGTGAATATGTATAAGCTGCTATATATGTACAGTGCCTTGCGAAAGTATTCGGCCCCCTTGAACTTTTCAACCTTTTGCCACATTTCAGGCTTCAAACATAAAGATATACATTTTTTATTTTATGTGAAGAATCACCAACAAGTGGGACACAATTGTGAAGTGGAACGAAATCTATTGGATTTTTGAAACTTTTTTAACTAAT